CTTCTTGCAATCTCTTGCAACTCTTCTTCTTCTCATACATCGACATTCAATCAGATGTTTTCTATTGTTTGTTTATTTATTTTTGTGCTTTAAATTTGAAAATAATTTTTTTTGGAATTAGCAAGACTAATTGTTTTTGTTTTTGTTAAACTGGTTGTGTTTTCTTTCTTTTAATTCTTTATAATGGCGGACAAATTGGTTTGTTTTGACAAATCAGCTGATTAGTTGCAAGCTTCTGCAGGGATGCCGTCTGTTTACTTTTCGCATTTTTCTTGCAAAAGAGAATAAAACTACCTTACTCTCTCAGAAAGAAGTTACTGGACAATTCCTGCAGGGAAAGTAACCAGACACACCTTATGTTTTCATTTACAATTTTTTGACGTTTCCTTTTGTCATTCTTCGTTATTGTTTACTTTGTGGCGACAGTGTTGCCCTATTTTCAATTTAGTTTGCGAATGCGTTTGCGTGAACGTTACAGAGTACCAAATTGTACTCTTAACGCATTTAGCTTTCGCATCGCACTTGCTTTCGCAACGCAATACAGAGTAACCCCCCAGTTTTGAAATTCGAAGAAGGATTGTGTTGGCCAACAGATGCTACTATGGTCTGAGTAAGCAACTCAAAAGCAAGGCCACCTCCCGCCAGATCAAACTCACACTCTACAAGACACTGATACTACCCGTGTTGTTATATGGATCTGGAGGGCTACTCTGTATTGCGATGCGTGAGAAAAATTGTAACGCATCGCGTAATTGGTACTCTCTAATTCGTTTTCGTATCTCCTTTCGCATCTACTTTACGCAAATGTGGCATCACCGCACTCTGTAATACGAAAACGCATGTCAAACTCGTTCGTTAAGCGCAAATATCTTGCGTTAATAAAATAGCAAACGCAAAGGAAGCGAAACATATAAGTAAGCTCCATTAAAGGTTTTATTTATATAAAAATTGTAAATTATTTTAAGTAAAAGGCAAAAAAGTCACAGTTACAGACTCAGCAACGTCAGTTCCTAACTTCAGTATATTTTATGGGGCAACACAGTGATTTGGCAAAGGGACAGTTGCAGAGTTCAAATGCGAAACAACGCGCCAACAATTTGTGGACAAAACTGTCTGATGACCTCAATTCAAATTGACCTCCTGTAAAAGATGTCGTTGGTTGGAAAAAGTAATATATTATTTTTTTATATAAAATGTGAAACTATGTGTGCATATTTATAGGTTGGTGTTGATAACCACCTTGTCCAAGCAATTTCAAAGCAGCGGCCTCTTTTATTGGAGTTGGAACTGTTGTGGATCTATTTGAAACGACGAGCGTTTAATAAATACATAAACGAATCTTTATTGAGACATTTTATATAAATCTATAAAAATTAAATATTTGAAAACATTTGTCACATAATTCGTACTTATATTTACATACCCGTGGTCACTTATGGAGAGTATATTTGATAGATCTCATAAAATTCTTTTTTTTAATTCGTTCATTTTTGTTTAAAAAACACTCGTACCACACAAAAATATGTTTTCATTTACAATTTATTGACGTTTCCTTTTGTCATTCTTCGTTATTGTTTACTTTGTGGCGACAGTGTTGCCCTATTTTCAATTTAGTTTGCGAATGCGTTTGCGTGAACGTTACAGAGTACCAAATTGTACTCTTAACGCATTTAGCTTTCGCAACGCACTTGCTTTCGCAACGCAATACAGAGTAACCCCCCTGAAGCATGGGTACTTGCGCAAGCATGATTAGCAGCTCTTAAAGTGTTTGGGAGAAAAAATCCTCGAAAAATCTATGGGCCGATCTGCGTCGTCAACGCAATATCGGCGTCGAAAGAACCACGAGCTTTACAATTTATACGCGGACATCGACATAGTCAGACGGATTGAGCTACAGCGGCGACTACGGTGGCTAGGCCATGTTCTGTGAATGAAAAAGAATGCCCCAGCTCACAAGGCATAGAAAAGCGATGTTGTTTTCTACTACGACTTTCCATCTTATTCGTGGCCTTCCCCTTCTAAGTAAACCATCAACTGGTTCGCTTTTATATGCCCCGTCGACGCAGATCGGCCCATAGATCTTTCGGAGAATTTTTCTCTCAAACACTCCAAAAGCTGCCTCATCGGCTTGCGCAAGTACCCATGCTTCAGATCAGGGATGCGAAATGAAATTATTCAAATTGTACTGACTTTCAATAAAATGTGTACTTTTTTCAGTCCGATTGTACTTTTTATACATTTTTTAATAAACAATCTATCAATAAAAACATACATAAACCAGTAAGAAAAGTAGTAAAGACGGACGGGACCGACTATATGATACACTTCACAACTATGTATTAAAACGATACATCTTAACAGAAGGGTCATTAACATGAAATTGGATGAACTAAAATATGTGAACCTTTATCTAAATGTGAATCGACTTAGATCAATCCATAAACATGTCATTCGTTTGTTACAATGGGTCACAATTATGTAAATCGATTTAAAGCAAATATCAATCGGGCACTCTTCGAATATTTGGAGCCCAATTAACACGAAGTCAGTCAAAAATATATATGGGCTACATCTGTACTTCTACAAGCAATTACGTCATTCTATCCTGAAAAAACATGAAGCGTTTGGTGCAACATTTACTTAAAATCGGATGAAAATATATATGGAAGCTATATACAAATATGAACGGATTTCAACGAAACTTGTTACAGGTTAGTTTAGACTAATTTATGCATGTTTTGTTCCTAATGAATATATTTTGGGTCCTTGGGTCCTACTTAAAATTTGGACGGATTCCAATAAAAATTGACACACGTTTGGCTATACTATCTTAAGTACGTTGTGCAAAATTTTGTGTGAATCTGCCTAACATTGATTCTTTGGTGCTCCATTTATTTACATCGGAAGAAAATACATATATATGGGAGCTATACATAAATCCCAAAGGATTTCAGCAAAACTTGACACATAGCTATGTCAAATTATAATTAAATCGGGCGAAAATATATATGGAAGCATTATCTAAATCTGATCCTATTTTCACGAAAATTAACACACATCATTCTATACTCAATTCAGTACGCTATGCCAAATTTTGTGTAAATCGAAAGACCACCATTTACATTAAATCGGTCGAAAATATATATGTGAGCTATATCTAAATCTGAACCGATTTTCCCCAATTTCAAAAAGATTCGTCCTTGGGCCAAATAAATGAGCTGTGCCAAATTTCATCCAATTCGAATCAAAAATGCGACCTGTAGTTTGTTTACAATTCAACATGGACAGACCGGCGGACGGACATGCATAAATCGACTTAACAAATGATTCTATGCATATTCTCAAAAGGAAATATGGGTCTATCTCGTTTCCTTTTGCCTGTTACAAACATATGCACAAAGACATAATACCCTGTACCGCAGTGTGGTGAAGGTTATAAAAACATACATAAGATGAACACATCCATGGCATCCTCAGACTGCATTTCTAAATTGACATTACTTGTAATTTTTAGTACATATTGTAAGAACAGAAATAACAGTTTGTAAAAAGGGGTTTTAAGTAAAATAATTTGATACAATTTAAAAATAGTGATAAATAAGTCATTGTGGTGCTATTGTACTTTTGACTTCCAAATAGTGCTAAAATTAGTACAATTGTGCCAACTTTTGCATCCCTGCTTCATATCCATATAACAGCACGGGTAGTATCAGCGTCTTGTAGAGTGTGAGTTTGGTCTGGCGGGACCAACAGATATTACTATGTTTGCTCAGACCATAGTAACATCTGTTGGCCATCCCCATCCTTCTCCGAATTTCAAAACTGATGTCATTCGTTTTTTTATGGCGGTACCAAGGTATATAAAATCTTTGACTACGTCGAAGCTGTAGTTCTCAAGTTCCACAGTTGGTCCGAGTCTACTGGACTCCTTGCGCCTTGGCTCCTTCACAATTTGTTCAAAGGTGGCTATTATCGCTCTCAGTGTTCGACCCATTATGTGGATGTCATCGGCATTTCTGTTCACTTTTGCCTCTCGTATGACCTTTTCCAGTAGGATGTTAAAAAGGTCACACGACAAACTGTCACCTAGTCTGAATCCTCGTTCGGTATTAATCATTTTTATAAATATTTGAAGAATATAAAACACCCATTAATTTGTCATTCATTCCTCATTTATTCGCGTTTATTATTTTAATTATATATATAAAAAATTATTTAAATAATTAAATGTTTATAAATACATGTAATAATAATAATAGGTAATCTTAAGAAAAGGGGTGAGAGGGACTCTGAAACGAAGAAAAGAGCTCAGCATATTTCTATGAAATATCATGATTGTGATCTCTTTCTTTTCGAGGGAGGGGAGTATACACGTATAGAAGAGGTATGTGGAATGTGCTCATGTTTGAGTGTGAATGTGTTTTTGTTGTTGTTTTTTTTTTTTTTTGTTTCGATTGCCTTTTAAAGTGCACTTTGACAATTGTTTTTAATTAGCGTTTCAATATTCTTTCGAAATTAAAATTATTCTCTTCTATTGTTTGCACCATCATCATCAACATAACAAAGAACAAATGTTGTTGGACAAAAGGGAAGGTGAAAACAAAACAAGTTAACAAAAAATAGAATAGTGTTATAATTAATAAACAAAGTGTGTCGATATACATAAATAAACTAAACATATTGCCGTAACACAACCAAGTAGTATCAACATAAATTCTAGGAGTTACAAAAAGGAAAAAAACAGAAATAAATTTATGAATTGGTATTGACTGACTATAAAAAACACATTACTTACATACATACGTACTAAGTTCATATACATTTACATAAAACAAAAATACTTTAGGTATTCTTTTCACTTTTTCTTGTTTTTTTTCTAATTTCGAACATCTTAGGGCGAGAGACAAATTTTGTTAAAACAAAAACCAAAAATCTATGTTGGGGTTAGAGAAAATGTTGTTGTTTATGATTAGTTTTAGAATGCAGCTTAGCTTCTGGATTTGTAGGATATAATGATTAGATCATAATTTTGATTTTGGTTTGACATTGCGTGCGAAAATAATTTCTGGATTGTTGCTAGGCTTTTGTATTTCACGATAATTGTTGACGATTTTTTTAGTTTCATCCTTGGGACATGATTGGAGATTGCGAAAAACTTGAACCTGCAAGAAAGAAAAAAGAAGAAGAACACATAAATACATATTAGAAGAGTGGTGAAAAATATTGGGTATGAATTGTAAGAAAATTTGTCACCTAATGACAATCTCAAAATGTCAAATTACAGCGTATTTGGTTGAAACCCATATCTGAAATCTTCAAAATTCAAAATTCAGAAATGGGGGCTACCACAAAACTTGGGCCAAAATTGATTATCATTGGTGGGGTACTACTTTACTACCCAAAGCGAACCCAAAATGTGAAATTGCAGCCAATTCGGTTGAAAATGTGTGGATGTGTGGACTAAAATTGGGTATTTTTGGTTGGAAGGTTTGTTAGCCAATAAATACCCAAAACACCAAATTACAGCCAATTCGGTAAAGAAAAGTGTCAAAAATCCTCAAAATATCGAAAATTGGAGATACCTTTACATGGAGACTACCACGAAACTTGGGCCAATCTTTATAATTTTTAGTAGGAAGATGTGATACCCAATGCGAATACAAAATATCAAATTACAGACAATTCGGTTGAAAAACTGGTACGAAATTCTCAAAATACGTAAAAGAAGGGGCACATTTACATGGAGGCTACCCTTCGACTTGGACCAATATTGATAACTTGTGGTGGAATAGTTTACTACCCAATGGGAACTAAAAATACCAAATTACAGCCAATTCGGTTGAAAAATGTGTTTAAAATCCGCAAAATATGGAAAATTAGGGACACCTTTACATGGAGGCTACCACGAAACTTGGGCCAAAATTGATTATTTTTGTTAGGAAGGTTTGTTAGTCAATGTATACTCAAAATACCAAATTACAGCCAAATCGTCACAATAGGCCTAAATCTAACGCTTTGGTGCAGCATTTGCGAAAAATCGGACGAGCATATATATGGGACCTATATCTAAATCTGAACCGATTTCAATAAAACTTGGCACATGTTAGTCTATCCTAACTTCAATACGTTGTGCAAAATTTAGTGGCGTTAGGCCTAAATTTGACTCTTTGGTGCACCATTTGCGAAAAATCGGACGAACATATATATGGGAGTATATCTAAATCTGAACCGATTTCAATAAAACTTGGCACACGTTAGTCTATCCTATATTCAGTACGTTGTGAAATATTTCGTGCTAATCCGCTTAAATTTGAATCTTTGGTGCACCACTTGCTAAAGATCGGACGAAAATATATATGGTAGCTATATCTAAATTTGAACCGATTTTTCCCAATTTCAATAGGATTCGTCCTTGGGCTAAATAAATGATCTGTGCCAAATTTCATCTCATTCGGATAATAAATGCGACCTGCACTTTGTTTAACATGGACAGACGGACATGCATAAATCGACTCAGAAAGTAATTCTATGCATATTCTCAAAAGGAACCATGGATCTATCTCGTTTCCTTTTGCCTGTTACAAACATATGCACAAAGACATAATACCCTGTACCACAGTGTGGTGAAGGGTATAAAAATCCATGCCATTGTTTCTTCTTGAAAAATTTACTATTCATAACAAGTGAGACCTTGACAATTGTCATAAAATCGATGGGTTAGAATTGCATTACAAATCGCAATAGTCCTGGGAATGTCAGTAGACAATAACAGCTGGCTTCCAAACCACACACCAACATATCCACCCCACCCCGCCCGACACACTGACATTTAAAATAATATTGACCGTGACGACGTTTGCATACCTGTCCTTTGGATACATATATGGGTGTTCGATAGATAATCCATGTAACACTTTCAAAGTAGGGTGCTGTTGTTAGAGATCCTTTATAGGTGTAATAATGTTTGCTTAACTCCTGTAAACCAATCCACGAAAGGCAATCTGAAAAATAAAACAAAACCAAATTTAGATTTCCTTAAATTCCAAATTTAATTAAATATTTAGTTTTTGTATCATACCTGAATCAACAGATGCTGAGGTATGGATTTTTTGTACAATTCGTATACCCTCGGTGATTTTCTTAAATTCCGGGCAATCCTTCTCACCACATGCCTGTATAAAGAATGCCACAACAGCCAAGCCGTCTGGCTTATTTTTCGCCTCTGAGAAATCTTTGTACTTTGAATTGTAGTGAACCGCATGGGCTTCCATGGAGTACTTCATACCCTCCAGAGTGTGTTCACAGCCCGATTCATCGGTGTCGGCCCAATGGAAATGCAACTGTTCAAAGATATATTTTTGATCGCCCAAACAACCGCCCAGCAGATAGGGTTGTTCCTTGCGTTTACTAAATGTTACCATGGCCGAAGTGCCGGTATTGTGGATGCGAGCAATGCCCACCGGTTCCCAATGGCCATGATATTCAAGTGGATCAATATCATCGATATGCTCAATGACACGATTGCTAATTTCAATAGGTGATTGAACGGGCATTTTCTGATCTGTTTGGAGGGTTGGTCTAGGTCTAGATAGCTCTTGTTGGTTTGGTTTTAAGCGTTTGGCGGCGCGGTTTCCTTTAATCAGGCGACGACTGTTGCTGCTGCTATTTTAGTTAAAGGCCAAGCTTTGGTCTCTCTAGGCTCTTACTATGTTATATTGACGTCGTGTTGGGATTTTTTCTTAACTTTAAAAACACAAACGTGTTGTGGTTTATGGAACCAAGTAAACTGCGACGTGGTGGCGAATTTTATTAAACTCGTTGAGGATCAAGAATTGAAATTATTTGGATGGAATTTCAGTTTGCCGGTGATGGGTGATGCTGCAGCTTTGCTACTGCACGAAGAGATATGTTTAAACTGAAAAAAAGGAAGAGTTAGGGAGAATTAGTTTAAAGAAAACCCATAAATAATAATAAAATTTAATTTCCAGTAGCAACACGTAATGCGATGGAGAACTATCGGGAGAAAAGGAGAGAGGAGAAACGTATTTTCAGAAAAAAACAAGGAAGAACAATAAAAACGTGAGCGTAAGCAAATCGAGATGTACAGGAGGAGTCAGAATGAAGTCAGGAAATTCTACCAACGGGTAAAACACCAAACCGATGGCTTTGGTGCAGGCACATCCTACTGTAGAGATAAAGAAGGAAACCTGGTGACAGATACAGACAGCGTGCTGAGGATCCATTTTGAAAAGCTTCTGCTATCAAATAGTAGCGGTGAAGAGGATACCCCAGAACCAATAATATATGACGGTATAGAGTGTATACCACCCGCCCAGGCACGTCAGAAAAGATCATCATGATCTAGAGAGAGGTCCAAAGGTACAAGCGTGAACCTCTAGATCAAAAAGCCTATCAAGCAGGTCTGAATGGTATTTACACGGACGCAGTCGCTCAGACAGTAGAGCAATATCACGTGAATACCATAATTGGAGACCACCCCCATCCATTGCAGCAGAGGAGAAGCAGCGGCTAGATACCTAACACATGTCCTGCATGTGGACTAGGACCACACGACACGTTGCACCTCTTCAACTGCCCAGCTAAGCCGACTCATATATCGCCGAATTCACTTTTGCAATATTCTTGAATTCGGAGGTAGGGGAAGCAGAATGAGACGATGTATGATAAACTACATGTATTCTGTTGCTACAACAACTACATGTACACGACTCATACCACCTATTCGTCGACTATAAAGCCGCATTCGAAAGCCGCACAAGACGTCCAGTAGACTCGGACCAACTGTGGAACTTGAGAACTACAGCTTCGAGGTAGTCAAAGATTTTATATACCTTGGTAAAGCCATAAACAAAACGAATGACATCAGTTTTGAAATTCGGAGAAGATAGTGTTGGCCAACAGATGCTACTGTAGTCTGAGCAAACAACTCAAAAGCAAGGCCACCTCCCGCCAGGCCAAACTCACACTCTACAAGACGCTGATACTATCTGTGCTGTTATATGGATCTGAAACATGGGTACTTGCGCAAGTCGATGAGGCAGCTTTTGGAGTGTTTGAGAGAAAAATTCTCCGAAAAATCTATGGGCCGATCTGTTGGCGGTGAATATCGCCGTCGAATGAATAATGAGTTGTACCAGCTATTCTCCTGCATCGGCATTGTTAGACGTATTGAGCTACAGCTAGGTCATGTTGTGAGAATGGATGAAGATGCCCCAGCCCAGAAGGCATATAAAAGCGAAACAGCTGATTGTTCACGCAGAAGGGGAAGGTCACGAATAAGATGGAAAAATACCAAGTGGAAGAAAACATTGCCGAATATAACCTTTCAAATTGGAAAAACTGAACAAAAGACCGACGCGCCTAGAAATTTTTTTTATCTCGGCTTAGTCGAAATAGAGAAAAAATATTTAAAAAAATCCAGAGACCTTCAAAAATATTTTTAAAAAACCCACGCTTATGGAAGGTTCTTCAATAAATATTTTAAAAAACCCACGCTTATGGAAGGTTCTTCAAAAAATATTTTTAAAAAAATCCAGAGACCTTCAAAAATATTTTTAAAAAATCCAGAGACCTTCAAAAATATTTTTAAAAAATGCAGAGAAAAATATTTTTAAAAATTCCACGCCTTGAAAAAATATTTTTAAAAATTCCACGCCTTGAAAAAATATTTTTAAAAATTCCACGCCTTGAAAAAATATTTTTAAAAAATCCACGCCTTAAAAAAATATTTTTAAAAAATCCACGCCTTAAAAAAATATTTTTAAAAATTCTACGCCTTGAAAATATATTTTTAAAAAATCCACGCCTTGAAAAAAACATTTAAAAAAAATCCACGCCTTGAAAAATATTTTTAAAAAATCCACGCCTTGAAAAATATTTTTTTTTAAATCCACGCCTTGAAAAATATTTTTTTTTTAAATCCACGCCTTGAAAAAATATTTTTTAAAAAATCCACGCCTTGAAAAAACATTTTTAAAAAATCCACGCTTTCGAAAAAAATATTTTTAAAAAATCCACGCCTTTAAAAAACATTTTTAAAAAATCCATGCTTTCGAAAAAAATATTTTTAAAAAATCCACGCCTTCGAAAAAAAATTTAAAAAAATCCACGCCTTCGAAAAAAATATTTTTAAAAAATTCACGCCTTCGAAAAATATTTTTAAAAAATCCATGCCTTCAAAAAACCACGCCTTACGACAGACCTTTTAAAACATTTTTAAAAAATCCGCACCTTTAATGGTCATTAAACAGTATTTTTAAAAAAATTAAGCCTTTTTACCTGCAGGATATTTATTTCGCTGAAGACCTTCTTCAATGCCACTTAACTGTTCCGATTTCAAAATCGAACTATTCAAAAATATTGTATATTTCTGTCGCAGGTAATCAAACAATTGAACGGTTCGAAGACACAATAATCAAGAGAGAGAAAGAGAGTGAGTGAGTGAAAATAAATTTAACGACTTTTAAATGTATTTATTGTGTGATGACTGACTTATGATTTAGTTTTGTGTATCGTCTTTTGATACCTTTTAATCAACGGCCAACCACCTCACCCTTCTACTCTGGTTAGAATTTTCCCTATCAAAAAATGACAACCAGACCATCAAACCAATAGATGGGTAGAGGTTGGAATGGGTGTTTACGGTGGTCTGGTTGATGTTTGTTGTAGAGCGTTAAAGTGTTGCACTTGTTTTACGAATATTTTTCAATGTCAATATAGGTAATAGACAAAAGCAAAAAAAAAATACAACAATAATATTTTAATAAATTTATTAGCCACGGGCAATGGGCCTAAGGCAATGGCAAAACAGTTGTATGGCCATAACACAGTAGAGAGCGAAAGTTGCAGAACAAATTATTTTATGGATAGTGAAGTGAGTCTTCCATGTGAATTTAAACTTCTATAGGCCTTCCATACAAAAAACATGGTTTATAGGTCTTCCTTTCGAATTTTCTGCACAGAGAAGACACTTGAGAGGCAAAGGTTATTTGCCTTAGAAGATACTTCTAAGGGCAAATGACCTCCTAAATGACTTCTATGCAAAAAAAACTTTTAAAGACCTTCCCTAGAAAAAAAAAAACATATAAACCTCATTCCCTTGAATATATTAAAAAATTTTGTCCTTCACTGTTTTGTGAAGATAAAAAAACACACAATATTAAATGCCCATCATTGACAGCCAGCCATAAACGCAATCGGGTAATTAAGTCATCCATCAACATTGACGATGATGATATTCAATGTCAAGGATGGAGGATATATGCATATAGATACAGATATCCTTGCTAGAAGTTCGTCGAACTAAAGAAGAAAGTTTTTTTTTTTTTGCCAATTACATTCAGAAATGTGAATACAATAACAAAAAAATGTCTTTGACACTTCCTCTACCCCTACAGACCACCAAACTACAAATTTCTTTTCTATCCACCGCCTTGACTACTGACGGGATATAGAAGAAGCAACAGACCAATTGAATACCGCATAGAAAATGAATAATTGATCATTTGAGTTAAATGGTCATGCCACTATACATGTGCTATTTTTTTGAGAATACATACAGGAAATGTAGGCGGCCACACATACAGGAAATGTAGGCGAATGGAGAATATGGATGGATTCACAGGAAGTTGCAGCAGGATATTAAATAACCAGACAGGCAATTAATTATCTAAATAAAAACCAGTAAAGAAAGTAGTATAGTCGGACTGGGCCGACTATATGATACCCTTCACCACTTTCGGTATATTGAACAGATGAATCCGACCAGTAAAATGAAATTGGATCCATAAACATGTCATTCTGTAACCGATACTAAATTTTTCATTTGGTCAGATATAGTAGCTGTATCTAAATCTGAACCGATTTTCACGAAACTTAACACACATCATTCTGGACCTAATTCATTACGCTGTGCCAAATTTCGTGCAAATCGAAAAATATTAAGGGACTTTGGTATACCATTTACATTAAATCGGACGAAAATATATATGGGAGCTATATCTAAATCTGAACCGATTTTCACGAAACTTAACACACATCATTCTAGACCTAATTCATTACGCTGTGCTAAATTTCGTGCAAATTGAAAGATATGTAGATACGTTGGTGCACCATTTACATTAAATCGGACGAAAATATATATGGGAGCTATATCTAAATCTGAACCGATTTTCAGGAAATTTAACACACATCATTCTAGACCTAATTAATTACGCTGTGCCAAATTTCGTGCCCATCGAAAGATATATAGGGACTTTGGTGCATCATTTACATTTAAGTCGGACGAAAATATATATGGGAGCTATATCTAAATCTGAACCGATTTTCACGAAACTTAACACACATCATTCTAGACCTAATTCAGCACACTATGCCAAATTTCGTGCAAATCGAAAGATATATAGGGACTTTGGTGCACCATTTACATTAAATCGGACGATAATATATATGGGAGCTATATCTAAATCTGAACTGATTTTTACGAAACTTTGCACACATCATTCTAGACCTAATTCAGCACACTATGCTAAATTTCGTGCACATCGAAAGATATATAGGGACTTTGGTGCAACATTTACCTTAAATCGGGAGAAAATATATATGGGAGCTATATCTAAATCTGAACCGATTTTCAGGAAACTTAACACACATCATTCTAGGCCTAATTCAGCACACTATGCCAAATTTTGTGCAAATCGAAAGATATTTAGAGATTTTGGTGCACCATTTGTCTTAAATCGGACGTAAATTTATATGGGAGCTATATCTAAATATGAACTGATTGTCGCGAAACTTAACACACATTATTCTAGACCTAATTCATAACGCTATGCCAAATTTCATCCAAATCGGATCATAAATGCGATCTGTACTTTGTTTACAATTTAACATCAACAGTTTACAATTTAACATTTAACGGACGGACGGACGGACATGCATAAATCGAGTATGAAAGTAATTCTATGCATATTCTCAAAAGGAACCGTCTATCTATCTTGTTTCCTTTTGCCTGTTACAAACGAAAGTAGGGGTTTAGTCGCCGAAGTAGTCGTCAACGACAACATCGCGCATGAATACTGCCACACTTTTGTCCCCGATTGGGACAAAATTTTGCACTGTGCATTGAATTATGTTCAGACTGATGTCTGCGAAGTTTTGTGAAAATCGGTTCAGATTTAGATATAGCTCCCGTATATAGTTTCGTCCGATTTTTTTGCGAATGATACACCAAACCCCCAATATTTGTGCGATTTGGACTAAAGGTTTGCACAGAGTACTGAATTAGGTCCAGACTGATGTCTGCGATGTTTTGTTATAATCGTTTCAGATTTAGATATAGCTCCCGTATATAATTTCTTTATATAATTTTCTAAATCAAAATTAAAAAAAAATCATTAAATTGTAAAATTCAAAATATTAAAAAAATATTTTTTAAGGTTTCAACATTGTTCTCATTAATTGTAAAATCCAAAACCGCTGATTTTGTGTATTGTTGTATTGATGGCAATTGTTTTATTTCAAAATTATTTGTGTTCGGATAGCAGATTGTAATTTTTTTTACCACATATCCCGATTACTTTTGCCATTCAATATATATTTGTTTAAAATAAATTTATTTTATATAGGTATAATAATTTCGAAAAAATTATAATTACATTTTTTTAATTTTTTTTTATAAAAATTTGTTACACTTTTTAAAATATTTAATTTTTTTTTTTTTAATTTTTTCAGATCACTTGAGAAAGGAACCGGTTTAACACAATTTTTTTTGAAATAATTTTAATTGAATTGCATTTCTTTCGCGAACATTAATCACGTGAATTTTGTTTTCTTTTTCTCACTTCACCACCACTAGATGATATATTAGCACGTCTACACGCTTAGCCGTTTAAATATTAAATGAAGTAATCCCGCGTTACGGGGTTTTTGACGATTCTCCTATGCAAATACAAAAATAAAATATATGAACAACAAAAATTAAAACAAATGTATTAAAGGTGACAAATAAAATACGAGAATTCTACCACGAAGTTAGTTAGTCGTATCATTGTAGATAATAATAACCGCCGATAGCAAAATCTCGTTAGAATTCTTATCGTGGAAATGACTGGCTGAGTGACTGATAAAAGATTGTTGAAACAAGTCGTCGAACAAACATATCAGGTCACATAGTCAGACGATGAACGATCAATAAACGAAAATATAAGGAGCGGAAGAAAGGAAATTTTTTTTACTTCACCCAATTTTTTATGGCGGGGTTATAAATCGACAATTTTTTTGGCAAGGTGGGATATTATTGGCGCAAATCGAATTGGGGCGAAGTTGAGGGTGTGAATGTCTTTTTTGAACTAGGAAAAAATTTTCAAGGAATATCAATTCGTATATTTTTATAAGGTCGTTTCCTTAAAGGTGTGGATTTTTTAAAAATATTTTTTCAAGGCGTGGATTTTTAAAAAATATTTTTTCAAGGTTCGGATTTTTAAAAATATTTTCTTAAGGTTCGGATTTTTTAAAAATATTTTTTCAAGGTTCGAATTTTTTAAAAATAATTTTTGAAGTTTCGGATTTTTTAAAAATATTTTTTAAGGTTCGGATTTAAAAAAAATCAAGGTTCGGGTTTTTTAAAAATATTTTTCAATGTTCGGATTTTTTAAAAATATTTTTTTAATGGTTCGGATTTTGTAAAAATATTATTTCAGGGTTCGTATTTTTAAAAAAAGTTTTTCAAGGTTCAGATTTTTTAGAAATATTTTCCGAAGGTTCGGATTTTTTAAAAATATTTTCTCAAGGTTCGGATTTTTTAAAAATATTTTTTCAAGGTTCGGATTTTTTAAAAATATTTTTTCAAGGTTCGGATTTTTTAAAAAAATTTATGCAAAGATTGGATTTTTTAAAAATATTTTTTCAAGGATCGGATTTTTTAAAAATATTTTTTCAAGGTTCGGATTTTTTAAAGATCTCAAGCCGTGAATTTTTTGGAAATATTTGTTTCCCCAGAACATGCAAATAATCTCCTCTTTATAAAAAAGCACACACACGCATTAACATATTTTTCATTATCAATACCGTTTTATCTGATTAGCTGTCAATTACCTACCAGAGAGAGCGAGAGAACATTTCTCAAGTACCCCGCCGCTGGTGTTGTTTACACACTACACAATTTTGCGGGACAAATAAGTGAAAAACTATGTAATCCTAAATGCAATTGTTTATTTGTACTACCTACCAACCTGACTACCTACCTAACTGCCCGTACGCCAGATAAGATGATTATTTTTATTTTCGGAACGATATTTTTTGTTGCTGTTGTTTTTGTTTGCAATTAACATTTTGATGACATACGTCATTTATTATAATCAACGTTGTTATGATAATCAAACCGCATCATGATTGTCATCAACATTGGCGCTATTCGGCTGAGGTATTTTATCGTAATCAGTATTTATACGAGTATTGTTTTTTCACCTGATTTCATTTCTGTAGGCTATTGACTATAAGAAGAAACTCTCAGACGACTCTGACGTCTAGAGGAAGAAGAAAAAAATAATTTAGATTATTTAAAATAACCGATCAGGAATTTTATATGGGGTAGCTAGCTGCCTGGTCATTGCTGTCGAAATACCATACTAAAGAAATCGATCTAAGACCTTGAACATACCAAAAGGTCACTAGTCATTTATGGTAACATTGGACCAATGTTGTTAATTTTTGTTAGAAATATTTATAAATTACAACCAATCCAAAAGAAACCGCGTATGAAATTCTCAAAATACGGAAAATTAGGGGTACATTTACATGAAGATGTGATACCCAATGCTAATCCAAAATATCAAATTATAGGCAATTTGGTTGAAAAACGGGTCAGAAATTCTCAAAATAGGTAAAAGATGGGGTACATTTACATGGAGGCTACCCCTAAACTTGGACCAATATTGATAATTTTTGGTGGCATATTTTACTACCCAAAGTGAACCCAAAATCTTAAATTACAACCAAATCAGTTGAAAAACTTGTTGGAAATCCGCAAAATATCGAAAAATAGGAAGGCTACATGAAGGCTACCCCAAAACATGGGCCCAAATTAATAATTTTTGGTAGATTGGTTTACTATCCAAAGCGAACTCAAAATATCAAATTACAGCTAAATCGGTTGAAAAATTTGTTTAAAATCCGCAAAATATCGAAAATTAGGGACACCTTTCCAAGGAGGCTATCACAAAACTTGGACCAAAATTTATCATTTTTGGTAGGAAGGTTTGTTAGCCAATAAATAACCAAAATACCAAATTACAGCCAAATCGGTTGAATAATGTATTCAAAATCCTCAAAATATCGAAAATTGGAGGTACGGTAATATGGGGCCTACCCTGTAACTAGGGCCAATTTTTATTATTTTTAGTAGGAAGATGTGAAAGCTAATGCGAATCCAAAATATCAAATTATAGCCAAATCGGTTGAAAAACGGGTCCGAAATTCTCAAAATACGTAAATGGGCCAAAATTAATAATTTTTGATGGGATGATTTACTACCCTATGCAAATTAAATTTTCAACCGATTTGGCTGTTATCGGTTGAAAATTGTGTCAAACATCCTCAAAATGCCAAAAAATTGAGATATCCTTATATGGGGGCTACCCTGAAACTGGGGCCAATACTTATAATTTTTAGTTGGAAGATGTGAAAGCTAATGAGAATATCCAATATCAAATTATAGACAATTCGGTTGGAACCAATTGCCAGTGGTTCGGGAAATATAAACCATTCAACACTGTTGGGTCAATGATCCACCATAACTATAGAAACCGCTGCGAAACTGATACTGACACAAATAGCTGAGGGGGAATGGTGGAATTTCTACGCGTGCCCCGGGCATTTTAATGCGATGTAAATTTTGTACAATCGGTTCCAAATAGGGATTGTTGGAAGTTTTTTAAGGAGTTAAAAAACTTAATTTTTCAGTTTTGGAAAAAAACCCTGAACTCTATTTTTTCATTTTCTCTGAAAAATTAATCAAAAGCAGGGGAACTGAAAACAAAAATAAAAACAGAACATTTCTATTTCATACTTCATTCGGAATTATATATTTTCTATCCTCCAACATGGTGGAATGTACCCTATGCTCTATTGTGGGCTTGGGATTTCGTTGCCTAAGTAATATGTTAATCACAGCCTTGGAATATCCTTTGGTGGTTTTCGTGTTAAGTGTATTGATAGCCTGCCTATTGATGACCAATATCCATAGTGCAAAAATCCTGTGTGACATCGGCAATGTGGCAGCAAGAACTTGCGGTATTACATCCGCCGAAGTTGACGGAACAATTTTGAGACATTTCGATTATGGCATCGAAAGAGGTGAGTAGATAAATTGCTAGGGAAGGAGGAGAGTGATTGATATTTATTTCTTTCCAAAAGGTCCCCATACATGGCAATGTTCGCATACGAATCAATCACCCATAAACATAATTGAATCGAATGTTCGCCAATTCCCTATACGGGAATTACTGACATGGAATCATTATGATGATCTGCCCAGTGCCATAATTATGGAAAATAATGGGCATACCGGTAATATTGGAATGGATATTTTGAAAACTTTTCTATTCATTCTTCTATCGCATCTTCTAGTTGTGATTCGAGCCACATTTTCGGGTAATACACCCACCTTAAGTGGTGCTGATTTATTGGCCAGTTATAGTTTCGTTGAGTTGTGTTTCCATTGGAGTCTTTCGAACAACAAGGGTTCGGAACATATGCTCAATTATCGCCACTATCCCATGGAAATGCAAGTTATGCATCGCACTGGTCCACCGGCGGAGAATATCTCAAGTTATGATCTGTTAATGGTGGCATATTTTTTTGATGTGAGTTGGATTGAAACCGGAAAAATAGTTCTTTTGTATTAAAAAGCAAAACCTTTTTCAGATCTCCTCCAACAATCCGTACTTGGAACCGATTGTACAAAATTTACATCGCATTAAAATGCCCGGCTCACACATTGAAATTCCACCATTCCCCCTCAGCTATTTGTGTCAGTATCAGTTTCGCAGCGGTTTCTATAGTTATGGTGGATCATTGACCCAACCTCCATGCTATCAAGGTGTTGAATGGTTCGTATTTCCCGAACCACTGGCAATTGGTGAAAGGCAATTAAACGAATTTCGTCAACTGCTCAGTGTGGATGCGAAATCACGAATAGTACAAAATTCTCGACCCGTTCAAAATGTCCATGAATCATCGCGTGTGATTAATTTGAATCAATATAATCCAGTGGATCCGGCTTGTAGCCTGATGGAAGGTCAACAATCGCAAACTGCGGATATGATAATGGCATCAACTGAAACAAATGAGAATGATGATGAATAAAAATGGATTGAGGGAGAGAGAGAACGGAAGAGAGGGAGAATATGGAAACTATCTGAAAATTGAGGAGGTTGAGGGCACATTTTCAGAAGGTTTTAAATGGAATATATTTTTTGCAACTTACCAATTTTAAATATTTCAATTAATATATACTTTATTTTTTAAAATAGTTGGTGATTTTTTTTTTTTAATATTTTTTCATAGGGTCTCAGGTCTCAGCATAGGCGTGGATTTTTAATAAAATATATTTTGAATGTCTTCATACCCGTAGGCGTGGACCCTTAGGCGTGGATTTTTTTAAAATATTTTTTGAATGCCTTCAAGGAATAACCTTAGGTGGATAAAAAGAGATTCATGGAATAGCCTTATTTATTTTAGGTCTCAACATAGACGCCTAAGACTATTTTTATTGGACTTTGAGTTGATCACAGAGAAAGTATAGAATCTTTTGATGATTTCCCATTCGAAAAACAACTGATCTTTTATGAGAACATATGATTCTTTGAACATATCTTCATTGCTGAGAAAATCCCCTTTCAAAATATATTAAAATTTCGAAAATCGAAGCTATAGTTTGGGAGTTATTAGCATTTTTTAAACCCGTACCATTGAGCGTATGATTGTTATTAATTATTGGGTTGATTCAGAAAAATCAAATAACTCCCCGACTTTGAGTGGAATATGTTAAAAGAATCACAGTTTTAATAAGCTAAGAGACTAAGTGATATGATAGGCATATCATTTGTAAAAAAATCCATCATTAACATGAAATAAATGGCACAACAAAACAGGAAATCGTTACAAGGTGAAAATATTTTTGTCAAGAAATTGTATAACTTCAATTTAAAAATTCACTGATATTTCATAAGAAGAAATTTTTTTGGTCTATGACAAATTCTCTTTCAGAAGATATCACTATCTTAAAAAATCAAAGCCCAAGTTTGGTAGTTAGGTTAGATAAGGGTAAACGGCTGCCGTTTACAGCCGTTCGTTCACTCAGAGACACTTGTCCATTTTAAGATGTCATATTTTTCTTTTTTTAAATATTTTTTTCGTGGGTTGACAGCTTCATATTCCGCATCATATGGCAAAATCAGAAGGTCTCCGTAATTTTTACATAGGCCATTATCCTAAAGAGATTCTGGAAATATTTGTATAATTACCTGAAAGAAAAAGAAAAAAAATATTTTTACAAATTTTGATTTAAAAAAAAAAAATACTTATTAAAATTATTTTCTAAAAAAATGCGATCTAATGTAACACGGAAATTTGACGTCAAAAAGCTGCAAACACAACAGATAGCAGAAGCTTACTCCGCTCAACTTACTTAACGAAAACACCTCTTGTCCCGATAATAATATAGAAGCACAGTGGCAGAGAATTGCCCACTCCCAACAAACTGCAGCAAAAACAACACTTGGGTACCAAAGACCACCATCAAGAAATCCGTGGTACGATCATATATATAGGGCGACCCTGCGGACAGTAGCAACACGTAATGCGATGGAGAACTATTGGGAGAAAAGGAGAGAGGAGGAACGTATTTTCAAAAAAAAAAAAAAAAAGAAGAAAGAACAAGAAAAACGTGAGCGTGAGCGAAACGAGATGTACAGGAGTCAGAATGAAGTCCGAAAATTCTACCAACGAGTAAAACACCAAACCTAAGTCTTTGGTGCAGACACATCCTCCTGTAGAGATGAAGAAGGAAACCTGGTGACAGATACAGACAGCGTGCCGAGGATCTGGAAAGCGTTATGAAAAACTTCTGGCATCAAATAGTAGGATAGGATACTCCAGAACCAATAACAGATGACCGTATAGAGTGTATGAGCCAAGTCAGAATAGCAATCAATCGGCTGAAGAATAATAAAGCAGCAGGTGCCGATGGGTTACAAGCCGAACTGTTCAAGACTGGTGGTCAGATGCTGGTAAGGACACACACCAGCTTATCTTAAATAAAATCGTCGCCTTTTTGAGGTTTTGTTGCAGGCACAACATCCTGTAGAGACGAAGAAGGAAACCTGGTGACAGATACAGACAGCGTGTTGAGGATCTGGAAGGAGCATTTTGAAAAGCTTCTGGTATCAAATAGTGGCGGTGAAGAAGATACCCCAGAACCAATAAGAGATGATGGTATAGAATGTATACCACCTAGCCAAGAAGAAGTCAGAATAGCAATCAATCGGCTGAAGAATAATAAAACAGCAGGTACCGATGGGATACCAGCCGAACTATTCAAGACTGGTGGTCGGGAGCATGCACCAGCTGATTAGTACAATTTGGCTAGAAGAATGCATGCCCAATTGGATTGGAACCTCAGCATCCTGTGTCCCGTGCACAAAAACGGAGACAAGACGATATGTGCCAACTATGACATTATTGGACCATACCAATGCGGCTTCAGACCTGGTAAATCCACCATTGACCAGATTTTCACTCTGCGCCAAATCCTGGAAAAAACCCACGAAAAACACATCGACACATTCCACCTATTCGTCGACTATAAAGCCGCATTCGACAGCCCTATCCGCTCAGAGGTGTATAAAACCATGTCTATGTTTGGCATTCCTGTAAAATTATTACGACTATGCAGGATAACATTAAGTGACACAAGATCAGCAGTTAAAGTCGTAAAGGACCTCCGGAGCCTTTTAATACCGAAAGAGGATTCAGACAAGGTGACAGTTTGTCGTGTTGCCTTTTTAACATCCTGCTGGAAAAGGTCATACCAGAGGTAAAGGTGAATAGAAATGGCATTCTGTACACCAAACAACACATGTTACTCGCCTACGCCGATGACATCGACATAATGGGTTGAACATTGAGAGCGATAACAGCCACCTTTGAACGAATTGAGAAGGAGTTTGCCAAAGTGGGTCCGGGACAGTAAATGGCGAGAAGACCAAGCTGATGATATCAACGCGCAACACGTCCAGTAAACTCGAACCAACTGTGGAACATGAGAACTACAGCTTCGAGGTAGTCAAAGGTTTTATATAAATTGGTACCGCCATAGACAAAACGAATGACATCAGTAGGTCGATTCAGTAACTTATAACTATCCGACAATCGACAATTTTGTCTACACATAAAATCGCTTGCAGTATCGAAAATGTTATTCTGTAAAAATGTAGACAAATTGTCGATACACTTTCAAAAAGCTTTTAATTTTGAACATTTTGAAAACAAAATACATACAAATTTTGAACAAAACAAGGCATGTTCAATATTAAAGAATATTTGTCTATAAGTTAACTTCGAATTTTTTGCTGTTGTTTATTAACAACATTTTTAACAATTGTTGCTAAAAACTGTTATAGAATTAAAATATTGTTTATTTTGTCGTTATAATATTTTATCGATTTGAGAATTGCTTAATTTTGATAGTGAATCGACCCACAGTTATGAAATTCGGAGAAGGATAGTGATGGCCAAAAAATGCTACTATGGTCTGGCAAACAACTCAAAAGCAAGGCCACCTCCCGCCTGATCAAACTCGCACTCTACAAGACGCTGAGTTTGGTGCTGTTATATGGATCTGAAGCATGGGTACTTGCACAAGCATATGAGGCAGCTCTTGGAGTGTTTGAGAGAAAAATTCTCCGAAAGATCATTTGGGCCGATCTGTGTTGACGTTGAATATCGCCGTCGAATGAACCATGAGTTGTACCAGCTATTCTCGGACATTGACATTGTTAGACGTATTGTGCTGCAGCGGCGACCACGTTGACTAAGTCATGTTGTGAGAATGGATGAAGATGCCCCAGACCAGAAGGCATATAAAAGCGAACCAGCTGATTCACGTAGAAGGAGAAGGCCACGAATAAGATGGGAAAGATCAAGTGGAAGACAACATTGCCGAATCTGACCTTTCAAATTGCAAAAAACTACCCAAAAGACCGACGCGCCTGGAAATCTTTTTTAAGCTCGGCTTATGGAACGAAAGTTCTGTCACAAGCCAGGTAAGTAAAAAAATAAAGTAATTAGCAAATGAACACTACACACTAGATGTTTTCTTTATTTGCCTCAACGAAATTGTATACCCAATAAAATATCATCATCTTTTAGGTTTGGATATTGGAGGCTATGGCTAGCAAATAATCTGACTTGGATGAATTGCGTTTTGCTGTTCACAATTGGTTTGACATACACACGTCTTATATCCCGCCAACCTTACAATCTATTTTACTGCCTGATATAATTTTGTTTTTCATTATCAAATTAAATGTGGTTAAAGTCCAGAGAGAGATCGCATGTCAAGACAATCGGAAGAAAACAAAAAAAAAAAAAAAAAAAAATAGAAAAATTCTACAAAAACCCCAGAGAAGGGAATGAGGAAGAAGAGGAAGAGAATGGCCAAATAGAAAAAAAAAACAAAATCATAATTAGAACAAATATTTGACATAACTGGCATTGACGGCACGTTGGCGTTTAATCTTCACGATCAAGAAGAAAAAAAAATTATAAAAAAAACAATTACTGGAGAGTGTGCACGAGCATGATAAACGACGATAAAGTCTGAACAGAGTCAGCGCTAATAAAAAAGAAAACAAAATAAATAAAAATGAATTGAGTTTTACAATAAAATTGTAAAGTAAAAAGAAAAAAGCAAAAACAAATAATTAATTGTTACAAAACAAAAATCAACAATGTCCAGACTATGACTTCAACATTGCTGTTAAACGGCATGCCTTCTTCCCTGCCCTGCCCGGCCTCATAATGCGGGTTGGAGTAAGTAAAGTTACATCAGCGTTCTCAAAACAATTGACAAATTGATCTGAAACGTAGAAAATGGAAATTTCGCAATTGAATGCTTAAACAACAAATGAATTGAATTGACTTTAAAATCAATAAAAAATAGGGGAAAAGATAAAAAGAAGAAGACAAACATTTTTCTGATATTTTTATAAAAATCTTGATGTGGTCTTTAAAGAATCATTTAAAAAAATCATGTGTTTGTTAAGACTTGAAAAAATCGTTAGGTCTTCAAAAAATAATAATGTTTAAAAAATCCATATTTTGGTTAGGACTTGAAAAAATCGTCTTTAAAAATTAATTTATAAAAAATCCACATCAGTTTATAAAAAATCCGGTCTATAAAAATTAATTTATTAAAAATTCACGCCTTGGCCAGAAAATTCTCTTTCAAAATATATTAAAATCACGGAAATCGAAGCTATACTTTGGGAGTTATAGGAATTTTTTAACATCGTACCATAGAGCGTATGATTGTTATTAATTATTGGGTTGTTTTAGAAAAACCCAAATAACTCTCTGACTTTGTGTGGAATATTTTAAAAGAATCGTCGTTTTAATTAGCTTAGAGACTAGGTCAAATGATAGGCATATCATTTGTAAAAAATTCCATCATTAACATGTAATAAATGACACATAAAAACTGGAAATAGTTACAGGGAAAGACACATTTTGGTCAAGAAATTATTTAAATTCTATTTAAAAATTCACTAATCTCTCGTGAGTAGATATTTTAGTTGTCTAGGACAAATCCTCTTTCAGAGAATATCAATTTCTTTAAAATCAAAGCCCAATATTGGTTAATGAATGTACGGCTGCCCTTTTCTCACACACAGACATTTGTCCATTGTGCTCATCCTTGATTCCTGAAAAGGAGTAGAGGAAAATGGAAATGACAAAAGATTGTTGGAAGTTTAGGGAGTGAACGGCGTAGTTTAGAGATTGAAAGTGGAAGTTTTGAGAGTGAAAATGGAAAAGAGGAAAGATAGAGGAAGTTTGAAAAGTATAGAAAAATGTTTATTTTAGCCATGTCTAAGTTTTTGTTAGAGCCAATTTCATATTTGCCGAAATGTCTTTAAAAGTGAATTTTGTAAAAAAAATCCACGCCATGGTCAGAAAATACTTTGGTAAGAAAATTCTCTTTCAAAATACATTAAAATCACGAAAATCGAAGCTATAGTTTGGGAGTTATACACATTTTTAAAAATCGTACCGTTGAGCGTATGAGTGTTATTAATTATTGGGTTGTTTGCGAAAATGCAAAATAACTCCCTGACTCTCTTTAAAAGAATCACAGTTGTAATAAGCTTAGAGACTAGGTTATATGGTAGGCATATCATTTGTAAAAAATTCCATCATTAACATGAAATAAATGGCATATCAGAACCGAAAATGGTTACATGGAAGGACAATTTTTGTCAAAACATTTTTTAACTAAAAAAAGAAAGGAGTAGACGAAAGTGGAAAAGAGGAAATATAGTGAAAGTTTAGAGAGAGAGAGAGAGAGAGAGAGGAGAAAACTGGTTATTTTTGCCATGTCAAAGTCTTAACAAAGCTTAGGATCTGTTTGGGGTTTCTTAATAAAAAATTTTAAAAATCGTACCATTGAGCGTATGATTGTTATTAATTATTGGGTTGTTTCAGAAAAAACTAAATAATTCCTTGACTTTGCGTGGAATAATTTAAAAAAACCACTGTTTTAATTAGCTTAGAGAATAGGTCATACGACATGCACATAATTTTTAAAAAATTCCATCATTATTCAAACCGAAAATGGTTACAAAGAAAGACAATTTTTGCCAAAAAAAAAATGTAAAACTAAAAAAAGAAAGGAG